TGAATTTACGAAAGGCGAAAGTCTAACGCAATCAAGGGAGGGAACAACTTTCGAATACGAATTAATCTACTGTAGAAGAATTAGCAATGAAATAACAGCCATTTTATTGAGTATACCACTGAAAATCACTTTAAAATGCGATTAAGAAATGAATAAATGAATGCAAAAAAGTGAGACATCAATGCTATTGAATTTACAAACAATGAACGAATCTAAAAATACAGAATTTCGACTGTTAGCAAAATCAAACCCCCAAAAATGTGCGAAAATACGAGTTGACTTTCTTTATAGAAAATTTGAAACCTACGAAAATATCATATATTAGAGAATTTACACGAACTGTGTAATAAAAGTCTACCTAATTCGCGTTAAAAAGAGAAGTAGTGAAATAAAGAATTCAAAATTCGCAAGGGATATACCAATTATAGAAAAAAAGTAAAAATATTAAGYTTAACAGACGAGAATAAAGCTTACAAGGCAAATACGGAAGTGGAATCACCGAAATATTACTGAGCTCATGAGAAAACATATTGAATATAAGGGTTAAATATATATTCAAACAAGTATAGAAATAATTAATACATGAATGTCAAAAAGCGGAATTATTCAGCGATAAAAAAAGAAAAAAAAATACATGAAACTACCCAAGACACACTCAATATTGTGATAGACTGTAGCGGTCAAAATGTTTGCAAATGGCTGTAGTATATGAAGGTGGGAAGTACTGATCGAATAAATCAATGAATATATCGATAAACTATAAAGTAAATGACAATATATAGAAGTGTATTAATAAATGTATGTATTATAAGACATAAAATTCCATTAATAATTAATTGAATTGAGAAATACATGGGTTTTACATCTAATGACATGTGTATAGATCACATTGACACGGTATATAGATTACAACTCAAGCGATCAGGATAAAATCATATATCAAAAATAGACAAAACARAGAAAAATCAATTATATGAAATAAAACAAAGGATGAGACATTTCTCTAAAGAATCYCACGGAACCAATCASGAATTAATTGACCAGCCTCGCGCGCAGTCCTTAGACCTTAATCACTCTCGATAACATCACGGCATTTGCATATCAACATGACAACCTACAGCCAATCCTTACRAAGGACATTAGTCGTACTGCGGTTAGAGTTCCTATTGAAGTCCTTATAATTCGCTTTTTACTCTTATGACAACGAGAAAGAACGGAGAGGGCATATCTATGTGGGAATTTATGCGTCAGTGAAAACCTGGCTATATGAAATGCGGTGGTTGTGGTGAAGCGAGTCGCTTCTTCTTGCGATTCTCCCTTTTTTCTGATTAGAGTCAAGTTTTAAATCAAAGGCGCTTGGATTCGCGTATAAACTGCTTTAGCCGACTAGCGCGTCTAATGTCATGTTAAAATCATGAAAGCTTTTGACAAGATCAAAGAAAAGCTAGAAAACGGTGAGTCTGAATTTGAACGAAAAAAMCAAACGTAATATATTTGGATGGAYTTGAAAACAAATGGAATGACAGCTTAAAAAACACACTTCTACTGACAATGTAATGAAAAGAAACGAAATAACTCCATGTATGTAATTTTACTTCGTAAATAAGACTTTTYTCCTTACTTATTTTAAAACCAATTCGAAATACAGACATTCTTCTGGGCAGTAAAAAATGTATTCGATGTATTTTTTCAATATGTAGGTCGAAAGCACTCGTGGGTGTATGAAAATATAATGTCGTACGAAGCGAAAATATTATCGCCCCCCCGAGGATACCGTATACTAGGCTTTTTCAATTAAATGTCATTTCATTTTTAGGATATTTTTATATGTCTTTCAAAGATTCTCTCGGTTATAAATTAAATTATAGCGCTTGTGAAGGTCTCAGATCTTAATTCGATCAGTATTGCACAGGGTTTTGCTCTGGATTATTATAAAGATTTGCGTTGCAGATATGTGGAACTGTAATTGTCTCAACGAGTACTATAAAACAGTCCTTAGTTCTTCTAAAGTTGGCAAGATTTTAGGTTCCCTAATTATATAGACTCTTCTACAAAGACGACAAAAATAATCCATGAAAATAATTTAAAAATATGAGAAATGACAAAAACAAATTCAATTTTTTTCGATCAAACTTAATTCATTTCCAATTAGATTCTGAAATAAAGAGCTCGTAAAAAGTACATAAAAACAATTTGAAGAGAATTTAAACGAGAAAAAATATTTTTGTAGTTTCTAAACACTGTCTATTCCTCGTGTCAGAAACTCTGCGTCATTTTGAACTCCTTCCACCCAGATAAAACTGCAAATCAAAAGAATGAAACAATTATAAGAAAATGCTTACAATTACTTTTTCTCACTAAAAGTGAAAAACACCAAATGTGATTGATAAATGCTTTGATTATTACAAAATATACTGAAACATTTATCAAGCTAATTAYTAAAAAGGCTGAAAAAGCGTGAAACATTTCAGCTTGAGCATAYAGTATATTTAAGCCAGATAATACATGATAATTTTTGAGAAAAGCGAGGATTATTCGCGCTCCGAAGAGCTGTCTAATAATTCCCAATCGATACCAGAGATTTGAATAACACTGTACTATTTTAATCTTGTTATTCAAAGACGTTGAGTTAAACTTAATAAGGTTCAGATAGAAATGTCAGCAAGGCAAACATAATTTCATTTTCATTTTATGAATAAGAGTTTTCACAGTGGCTAAACGCCTACGAYYCATCTTTAAGTCTTTGCGGCTCAATAAAGGATTTTAACCTTGTTTACGAGCTTAAACTAGAAAAAAATATGACAAAAACTCTTTAAAATGGAAGAAATAGATCAGCTGTATATATATAGACTTTGTAATCGTATGAAAAGTGGAAACACTTTAATATTGTTGTGTTTTTAATATATTTTCATTAATTTTTCAAACCGCATATTATTCAAWAGTCGGCACGAACTTAATTGTTAGTGGAATTTTCTCGCTTTTGAATTGCCAAGTACTATAGATATCATTATTATTATTATTATCATTTTTCTAAATATATTCTTTACTCTTTGGGGCGTTTGGCTAGACTTTCGCAAAATCCGAGAATTTTATTTTTCGTTTAAGTTTACGAAAGAGATGTCGACTTGGGAAAGTCTTCGACAATGTACAATTGATGTGCTATATATTAATCAATATTTTGTCATATCTTGACTTTGATCGTCCAATAATGTTTCAGGTTAATGTACTTTGACGCAAGTAGCGTTAGCGTCGGTGTAAAATAGGAGCTGCGTCGGTGTAAAATCGGAGCTGCGTCGGTGTAAAATCGGAGCTGCGTCGGAATAACATCGGATCTGCGTAGATGTTACTATTAAACAGTTGAAACAAAATAATAACTTCACACCATAAAAAGATAAAAATAAAACTTTTCTCACATTTCATCACTTAGTAATTCGTGGGAGTAAAAACAACGAAGGATTAAAAGCCGGTGCGAAACGTCTGTAAGTCTTACGTCGGTCTTTTTACGTTTACGTAAACCTTTTTTGTACAACGTCATGTATAATTTGACGTCATTTGCAAACATTTTTCCGCTAATAGGCACCTTACGCAAATGCGTTGTCATAGAGAAATAAAACATTTGTTCTTAATTAAAAAAGAAGTCGTTAAAAGGACAAAGCCAATCACTCAAGCCGAACACGGTCTTTATTTGTATCTTTCTTTCAAAGAAATTCCAAGTATAAGTTCTATTTCTCTATGGCAATATTTTGTATTCTTCGTTTTCAATATACTTCTCAGCGGCCATCTTGGAGGAACTTTAACAAATGATTTCTCATTAGTATCTATTGTTCATTCCTCCAACATGGAGCCCGTTCTTTTATCTTTTGAATCTTATGGAAATTGTTGAAATTTATCAATAAAATTCCATGGGGTGCATCGTTGGTAAATCCTTATGACTTTCAAACCGTCTTCGTAATATTGCTTTGCGTATACGTGTAGACGAGCACCGCATTCGTAAGAATTACTTTGTGTAAACGTACGAACGTAAACCGTATTAAGGAAATACTCAGCGTATACATGTCGACGTAAAACGTATCAGTAAGAAATGCCCTTGCGGATACATACGCAAGCAGCATTCATAAGAAAACGTTTGTAGTTACGCGTAGACGCTAGCCGTGTTCATAATAAAATATGATGGGCATTCGCGTCGACTCAAACGTATACGCAAGAACTGCTTCGCGGATACGCAAGGACGAGAACCGTATTCGTAAGAATGGCTTTACGGAAACGTGTTTATGCAATCAGCATTCTTAATAAATAATAATAATAATAATATTTATTTATATAGCGCAGTATTCAACATTACCGTTTTCACACGCGCTTTACGCATACTTTATGTAACGTAACGATTCCGTACAATCTCTTGCAGTTCCATTATGGATCATAGCCGTGGTTGGCGTCCTTGCTGCATTAGCCGTTGTGTTCTGTATCTACTGCTGTTGCTGTCGAAAATGCGGTAAAAAAGACAAAAAGGAAAAAGACAAGAAAAAAGAGCGCGTCGATCTACAAGCTGTGAAAATTGGCGCCAGTTACCAAGAGAAAGTACAGCCTTCGTTTGATGAACTGGACTACAACAGCGAGGACTACTACTCTGATCACAGCTCAGGAGTTAAGATAGGTTAGTTTTTGTTATGGTCAAA